ATCCTGTCATTTTCCCTTTTATCCATTGTTTTTTTTCAGAGAAATATAATTTTATTTAATGTTTTCCTCTGATTTCTGACTCACAGGAGTGCTGCAGAATCATGCCCGACGTTATAATTTGCCCATCGATGAGCTCAGCTTCCACTTTCACATTTTGCCGGTGTTCAGGGACGAGACATCAGTGTGTGAGGCTTTACGAACTCTACCCACTAGGGCCAGGCTGGATATGGATGAAGAGGTATTGAAAAAGGTGGAGACTGTTCCCTATAAATGAGACTAAGGTGGATTTTAGCCGCAGGGACATTAATAAGAGACTAGACGTTGGGAACATCCATAACTCAGGTCGACAGATGTAAATTAGCTATAGATGTAACTATGCTATAATCTGGCTCATTTACAGTCTGTACAGAAGTATAAGATTGTTCATTAATGTGCACTGTCCTGATAAATAAATAAATAAATAAATAAATAAATAGATAGATAGATAGATAAATAAATAAATAAATAAATAAATAAATAAATAAATGAATGAATAAATAAATAAATAAATAAATAAATAAATAAATAAATAAATAAATAAATAAATAACTTCCCAAATCAACCTTGACATCATCTGGTGCTCAGACCTCTGTTATGAAATTTTCTGTTTTATTTGGGGTTATTTCAACCTTTTCAGTCTTATCAGGGGTTAATCAAATCTAGAAAAGATGGGAGGACCTACTTTCTGGAAGAATAACTGTCAAAATCAAAATTTTACACTGAAATTTTAACAAATGGATAAACGTCAGCTTTAATAAAAATGTGGTTTAATGTTTGATAACTTCTCAGATCATGTCATAAGAGTTGTAAAGGTTGATTTTGGAGGGGATTGAATCTTCCATAACGGTTACAGTTACTTTATGCATGGTAAGGAATAGTTTTTAGATTATTTGTGGATCTGTGCACATTCACAGGAGCTAAAAAGGGAACAGATTTTTATGGTGTTCGTTCAAATTCCCCGATGACGTTCTCTCCTTTGTCTCATTGGGGGAAACCCCAGTTACCGGACCCAGACATTGGTGTGCTTGTACATGGCATGTTCATGGACGCCAGCCGCTGGGATTGTGTCTCCATGGCGATTGATGATGCTTTGCCTCGCGTTATGAACTCCATGCTGCCGGTGGTGCACTTTGAGCCACGGCAGAACTATTCGCCTGACCCTGGACTCTACCACGCTCCTCTCTACAAGACCTCCGCCAGAGCAGGGACTCTGTCCACCACCGGTACGTACCGGAAACGTGCAAGAATCCTGTCACATATAATCAATCAATCAATCAATGTTTATTTATATAGCACTTTAAAACAACCGGAGCTGACCAAAGCGCTTTACAGAATAAAATCTAATCAAACGATCGAAATATACAAAGACAAACACATTGGTGACAGAACCCAGTATACAGAGATTTTACGTGCAAAAAGCCATCCTGAACAAATGCGTTTTAAGGTGAGCTTTGAACAGAGGCAGGTCAGTAAATGAACGTAACTCAGTGGGCAGAGAGTTCCACAGTTTAGGACCTGCCACTGCAAAAGAGCGGTCACCCCACTGCTTGAGGAGATATAAGGAGAGATTCACTCTGATGTCAGACTCTGGTGGTGATTAGCATCTCGTCATTGTCTCATCTGTCTTATCTCTTTAAAATGCCCCTTATGTTTCTAAATATTAACCCTTTAAAGCCTGATCCAAGAAAAATAGGAAGAATATTGGATTTTTTTAGTTTGAAGTCTTTCTTTGGCCCCTCAACAACATATGAAGAAAAAAAAACAGAAATGATTTTGATCAAATTAGCGTGCAATAAGTCAAAAATCCAAGAAAAATAGGAAGAATATTGGATTTTTTTAGTCTGAAGTCTTTCTTTGGCCCCTCAACAACACATGAAGAAAAAAAGCAGAAATTATTTTGATCAAATCAGCGTGCAATAAGTCAAAAATATATGTTGGTGTAGTCTTCTACTGGCTGTTATCAGGTATATGTGAATGTGTACAACAGGGGTTTGAGCAAAGCTTTTACCACTGAATGATGCAAAAAGTCTCAGATCCAAAAGACTTCAGAAACCGTATGAATCAAATATGACACATTTGGCATTATAGGGTTAAGGGCTGTATACCCTTTTTACTAGATTAGCAGATTGATTCAATTTGGTGCAGAAACTGTATTAGTGGGTATCGGGAGTTTTTTCTTACCTTTAAAGAATGCAAAACCAGGTAAAACAGATTTTTTTCCTTTCGTTTGTTTTTGCTCTCTCCCTCCAGGCCACTCGTCTAATTTCGTGGTGACGGTGCTGCTTCCCTCTAAGCGACCCAGCAGTTATTGGATATCAAAAGCCTCTGCACTCCTGTGCCAGCTGGATGATTAGGTTTATTTTTTATTCAAGGACAAAGCAGAAATGTAAACACAACTTTGTCGTAACGAATCACGGCTCAGCCTGGAATGAACTTTTGTGGAATAATCGCAGAGATTTTTACAGACAGAAATTATGCTGAATGTGCACTTTTTAATCATGTAATAAATCCTTCAGCTTCTTTCCCATCTTCATGTGTATCTGAGCGCATTAACACGGTCTCTGCTCCTGAGCAATGAAGCATTTTGTCAAAAAACGTCGAGCTTGGAGTAAACACAGCACACATTCCAGTAATAGCTCTGCCATCCATACCGTGCAGCAAGTCACTGAATATGTTTACTGATTTTAACAGGACGCGCGTGGCCTCGGGGAGAGAAAATGTGAGGATGGATGGCTTAAGATATCCACTAGATGAATGAACATCTATGGGCAGAGGGGCACAGACAGTAGAAGTCGAGTATTAGCCAATGAAAAGAAAGCATTGGATGGCTACAGGGCATTTGTTTGGACAGGAAAAAAAGTGATGATCATTAAATTAAATGATGAAATGTTTCTGTCACAGCCCACACTCACTTCCGCAGCCTATTTGTGTCACTTAGGTCAGGAAGTTTGAAGACGTAAAATATGGCTCCCAAAACACATTAAGTGCCCCCACTGCAGTTGTGAGAGCAGAGAGCAGCCACATTCAATCACCGAGTCTGACTCCTCACACCTTACTGCTCCACTAACAACAAGCAGGAGGTATTTAAACATCCGCCCGAGGAGGAGCAGTCAAACAACTGTGGAGGAAGAGTGAGTTTAACCCTTTAAAGCCCGATCCAAGAAAAATAGGAATAATATTGGATTTTTTTTAGTCTGAAGTCTTTCCTTGGCCCCTGAGCAACATATGAAGAAAAAAAACAGGAATTATTTTGATCAAATTAGCATGCAATAAGTCAAAAATATATGTTGGTGTAGTCTTCTACTGGCTGTTATCAGGTATATCTGAATGTGTACAACAGGGGTTTGAGCAAAGCTTTTACCACTGAATGATGCAAAAAGTCTCAGATCCAAAAGACTTCAGAGACCGAATGAATCAAATATGATACATTTGGCAATATAGGGTTAAGGTAGATACATGTAATGTGTTCATAGATAAAGTTGTGTATGTGCTTCTTAAACTAACCCAACATATTGTAAAATGGTAACAAATCAGAATCAGAATCAGAAACACTTTAATAATCCCAGAGGGAAATTATTAAGAAATCAATTAAGAAATTACTATTAAGAATAATCTCACCATTCCAATTAAACTGACCTTAATTAAGTTAGCATACAAAGGAGTTATATATCTCATCTCATTGGGAATAAGAAATAAGCAATTTTGTGTAGATAATTTGCATGATGCTTGTTTTGACTTTATGTCTGTAGTTTATCTCAGTTGTTAGTTTTTTGTCTTTTTTTTATCAAGAAAAAAGGTCTAGATGTACAGATGTATCCCTTCCATAAGTACCACTTTGAATCCACTCCATGTTTTTCCAACTATGAACCATCTGTTTCTTCTCAGGTTTGGCAACTTCCCTAAAGTTGATGATCATCATGTTTAGTTTGCTGTCCTTATGGAGGCTTTTAACTCACTCCATTAGGACTAATTTGAGGACTGATTAGGACTAATTTCATTAAAGGTAAGACTATTCAGTTTTTTATGTCATCTTTATAGATTACATTAGGGATAATGACAGCTTGGATGTTAAAAATCCCCTTTATGTAATATCTGTTTTAGTTATAGTTAATTCCTTAATACTAGTACATGTAGGGTGTCTTAAAAACCCTTCACACATGGATAATTTCTTTTTTATGTTGGAATGATGAATGGCAACATTCACTGACTCTCCAACCTCCAATTTGGCCTCCTTTTTTACTAATCAATCCTCTTTTTGAGCCAGGATTATACCCTGTGAGTAACTGTGAGTGTACTGTACGGAGCTGTTTTATAGCAGAGAAGTTGTAATGAAGAGGGCAGAAATGGATTGAAGGAGCAAATGAGATTACATGCCCCAGTCACTCTGAAACCTGATTAACAGTGTTTTATCACGCCCCCCCCCC